ATACTTAGGTTTAGTTTTTTTAGCCCTCACATGGAACCCTCAAGGTCAAAAGAAAAGAGCAAGGCCAAAGAACACATTAGGCCGAGAGATACAGAACGACATAAGAAGAATGAACAAAAACTGGAAAGAACTAGAAAGGGAAGCCCAGGACAGAGGTGGTTGGAGAAAACTGGTGGGCGGCCTATGCTCCATTGGGGGTAACAGGCGTAAGTAAGTAAGTAAGTAAGTAAGTAAGTAAGTAAAGTCAAACTGTATATTTTGATATATAAATGTCTTCTGTGTTGTCTGCGATGTAATAATGCGTATCATAGAAGACTTGTTTAAAAGTTTTCAACTGTTTTGCAGTGACTGCTGAAATGAACTAGTTCTTTAAATTATATCAGTTTCTTATTTGAACAATAAAAGAAGATCGGTTTTTCTGAAAACTGTACCACAGGTATGCTTTTTTTAATTTTATTGGTCACAACCATGACGATATTTACTATTTCACATATAAGCTAAGTAATGATGGCTTCTCGATTCACTCTAACTCGAGTAAACATTTTATTCAATCTCAGTTAGTATTGACGCTTATTTTCTCCATAACTGAATTCAGTTTGTTGTTGTCACAGAGAATTATAGCTATTTGATTGAACTGGGTTTTTTTCACTTACTAGACGAAAATCAGCTGATTTTTGTGTGTAGTTGATCATTTTGTGTAATAAATGCTCTTCAAGGTTTCTTTAAGCGATGTAACTATCTTGTTAACATGTTAATGAAATCAATCAATTCTATATGGTAAGTCTTTTGTGCAAAGAAACATTTCGGCTTATAACTCACATTTTGGCTTTAACTAGATGAAGCTCTTAATCGTTCAGTTTATTAATATGCATGTTAACTGATCATAATCATCTAAAACTAAGGAAAACATGAAATTCAATTTCAATGTTTCAATATAAAATATATATATATTTTTTTTAATTTTTTTACTGTCCAATAGATCCGTTCATTGAATCATTCTGTTTGAGAATATATATACATATATAATACATATGTACAAATACAATTCACTACAATTAAATTTGATTTATCGAATTAATCACTAGTCAACCGGCCTTGTAATTATAATGCCTCCATTAACTAATGAAATTGTGTTGTCAAATTTAGTTTGTTATTTGTTTTGTTCTCATATTTTCCTATTCCTTAATGTAAGTACATTACAATACTATTTAAAATAGATCTTGTTTTATTATTACTATTATTATTATTCCAATAAGTGCCTATAAATAATGCATGTAAATTGGAATTTTATTTAATTTATTATGTTTCCTTCTTCCTCTCTTTCTTCCCTCTGTTTTTTCCTTCCTTTTCTATAAAAAAATTCCCGCCATTGTTTGGTTCTTGTTTCGCTGTTGTTGTTGTTGTTGATAATAAGTTTTTTTTTTAAAAAAAACAGAACTAATTGCAATGGCATTCTTCTTCGCTTTTGCTTGATTTTTTTTTTTGGAAATTCCTACCTACTAAAAGCTACTTAAATACTTGCTAACTTATCGTGATAAGTGTATAATGAATGCTACTAAAAGATCAAATCGTAACGGTTGTTGTGTAAGTAAGTCAACAGTAGTTACTGAAACACGTTGAAAATATAAACAAAAAATATATAAATCCAAGTGTGAATTGTGTCCATAGATTAAAATGCACACTTTATTGAATTTAATGATTTATTGCATCCAGCGTAAATGTCACTATTCTTTCGGTTTACAAAATGCCCCAATAGAATTTGTTTCCATTATTGTAGTGTAATTTGTTGATCTTTTCATGTGGTCTAATCCAATGCAATGATGTTACTGGGAACACTGTGTATTGTGATTCAATGGTTGAGAGCAATTTTTTTCTTGTTTCGCTTTGTTTTCTGTATTCGTAGTTTACATTAAGGACAGTGGAATGGTATTCACAACATTTTGAAAGGAAAATCAATACTGTCACATGCACAGGAATAAAATATGTTTGCATCAAGTTCATCTCGATTCATCTGTGAAGTATTGTAGTGGAACGCTTCTACTAAGAAAATAAGATTTGTGAAAAATAAACATTATTGTACTGGTTTTGTTTAACTGTACCAAAAACACCTTGCGCGCAACGTTCTTTTCGCGTTGCTGCCATTTTTCCAAACGCGCTGTTCCCCATGTAATGCCTACTGTCTCCTTCAATAAAATGTTGAAACATGGATTTATTTTGATTTAAATGACGGGATAGTATGGAACATTTAGTGGTGATCATAGTCAATCTGGTAACCCTCACCACAGTATCATGAAATCATGTGTGCTAGAGGTGTGTGTAGCATTAACATGCCTATTTCGTTCGGTTGATTATTTGATATGAAGACATTTCTAAAAGGTAAAATGTATCTGAAATTCGGTGCCATAAACTCCCATTTTCAAATCGTGTTATGGACAGTAGTTATTGATTTTTAAAAATCAGTAGTAATCAACTCCATTAGTCAAGATATAATGTTCTCTATGGGTTCAGTTATTTTCAGATAGTATTTTAGGAGGTTTTGTTATGGTTTTGCCCAATTCTTAACTGTTTGTTTTTGCTTTACAGTTTGTTAGATGAATGAATGATTTGTTCTGTTAAGTGCAATAGCACTGTAAAAATGAGCTCGGTTATCTGTTTCATTAGACTTTGACAATCAGAATTTTTGATGTTTTAGTGTATGTGTGTCAAGTTAAGTCTCATAAACAACTACTTTTAACAGCTACACTGTACCACTTCTGGCTATCATCCAAGAGAACCCAAAAAGTAACAGGTTAATCAAAATCATAATTTCAAAAATGACCTATTCGAAAGAGGAATGATGATTAGTATTTTTATAATATTTATATGACTTAGAAGTATATTACGGTCCAAAACAATAAAACTAATCAATAATTTTCAATTACCTTATTCGTCATAAACCCGGACGTGTCAGTTAGAAGTAGATATATGCTGCTTCGTTGGATCGCTGAAGCTTTCAGACTCCATGTATACAGTGAAAGTTTCCAGTCTTGCGTACTTACAAAATAACCAAGATGAAACTTATCAAGGGCACAAACTCGAGACTTGAGATGAATTTCAGATTATCATTGCCACTGAGTTGCAAAGTGTGACAGTGAAACTTGTTGCTAGTGAAACTATTCAGTAGATTGAACTACATTAAAGGATTTATTTTTTGGAAAGGTAGTTTCTGTTATCTTATACTGACTGAAATGAAAACTGTATTTGTCGAGTTGAGAAATTCGAAAATACCAATTATCACTGATTTATTCTGAAAATGAAGTTAAGATAGGCTTCCAGTTTCGAACTTATCACCAATTAATTAATATTTGACAGGACAGATTAAACCTCTAATACATAATACACACAAAGAATTATCGATCAATAATATAGGCGATAATCAATTTTATGAAAACGTCCCAACGTACTACTAATTTACTATCTTATTTGATTATCATGATGTTATTTGGAAATTAGTCATGTACAGGTATTAATAGATGAATGTCGGCGAAAACATTTAAACTACTTGTAATGAATTTGTAATGCAATTCATTTCTAATACTTGGTGAATGGACACTCAGCCATTTAATTTCTCAATAACACAAACATTTACTACACCTATATAAGCAGCTTGAAGTAGGGAAGAAAAAGTATTCGGAATAAAATTATGTACATTATTTTATGCTTTGATAAAGTGATATTCTTCAATACACAATTCTACTGATTTCGTGTTGGTATGTAGTTGTAGTGTGTCGTCGACACCTTAGTTCATGCATACATACAGCGAGAACACATTGAATCAAACAAACAAGTATATTGGTCTAACCAACAGAGTCTGATTTGATGTTGTATGCTGCTTTTATCTTGTGGCCAGAAATTCTGCCCAATTTTCCCCTAACCAAAATCTGTGATATTTTATATATATATTATAATTCTTGTTTTTCAGTCTATCCACAATTTTTAAAGGGTTAGAAATTTTCACCAATCATTTATGTAGATCACCACTTTCCGCATCTGTTGGTCTCACCTTCATACTTTCAGTTTATTTTCTTCATAAAATGTATTGAAATTAAATGGAAAAAACAACAACAACAACAACAACTAACCAACACACACACACACAAACAAACAAACACTTATACAGAAAACACAGTGACACCAAGAAATATTACTATATACTGACAGCGGAAACCAACAGACAGTTATATTGAAATATCACATAAACATATATATTATATAGTAACATTTGAGTTGTTAAAATTTGTTCTATGCTCTCCACACAAACCCCTTTACTTACCGAATCAGATTGTAGTTAGACAGTCGTTTTTTTTTTTTAAATTGTAGAGTGGCTAACGTTTCTCACCTACTATACTTAAACACACACAAACACTAATTCTAACCTTATAGTGGATTCATGTACAGAAAGTACTTATTATCCAATGGATATGGTCAAATGATGTTTAGTGTGTGTGGGTCAATCATCACACATACAAACAAAATTACATGTAGACATTTTTCAAAAAAACCATCAATTCCGCACTTCAAAATGTGCCATGCATATATATATATGTATAAATATATACCATGAACAGAAATCAGAAGCCACAGAGTGTGACACAATTTATCTCATCTTAATCATCATCATCGTCATTCTCATTACTATCAACACTAACATTCATAAAGCAACACTAAATCAACAACACAACTCACCTGCCATCATTTGAGTTCGCTTTGCATCAGTACTGACTGAACCAGATACAAGACATATAAGTATTTTGTACTCTCTGTGTATTACACATTGATAAATTAGTGAAGCACAACTGAAATTGAAATTTTTATATTACAATCACTTGCACTATTATTATCATCATTTTTTGAAAAAAAAACGCTGATATTAATTATTTACAATCTAATCAATTACTTGAACGTATTCTAGACAGTAGACTCTTTTTTTTACACAAAAAATAACACACAAAAAAAACAAAATGTCAGATATTCTTCTGGCTGAATACACATTGAAACGTGCTTTACGTGAACATACCACCGATTTAGCTCCAACAAGTAATCCACATTTATTATGTACACCATTGCCTAAACACTGGCGTTCGAATAAATCATTACCTAGCCAATTTCGTGTGGTCAGTTTAATTCCAGTACCAGATGGTACACGTGTAACTGTAACAGCGGGAAATGAGGAGCGTCCATGTGCTGAATTAAAAAATCCAGTCACAATAATGCATGGACATGAAGCACGATTTAGTGATCTACGATTTCTTGGTCGTAGTGGTCGTGGTAAGTGGTAATTATTATTCATAATTATTAATTTTTTGCTCAATATTCATTTTATTTGCATAGTTTGCCCCAGTCTTATTTGTTCAGTCTATTTTAAAAAATTCTTCTTTGTTCCTATATATTTTCAGTGTTAGTAGGCCTTCAGATAGTATTAATGAAATTGCCTGCTTATTTTATAAATTCCTTATATTAATATACATTTATTTTTACGGAAATAAAATCATGCTGAAATTTAGTAATTTCTTAATCATTGTTTGTTGATAAGAGTAATTTAGAAGTATGATCTATGCATTATAGGATTAGAATTTTTTTTAGTTAAAAAGGTTTTAGGCTCGACCGCTGTTTTGTCTATGTCGGTTTGAACAGTTTGTCAGTGGGCACTTGCATATGTACACTCAAAAATCCTGCACATTATGACAGTAGTAAAGACTACGATGATAGAACGCAAAAAAGAGCAACACCAACAGTTTAGTAAATAATCGAATACCTTAAATGATTTTTTGATTTCCGTCATTGTCGGAATGTGAATCATTTTGATTCAGAATGTGAATACTTTTCTATACGTTGACAAAATACGTTTAAGGGAAGTACTGACTGAGTGGAGAGAAATCTCTATTGTAAATATAAATGGTTCATCTTTATTCATCAAATTTACACTGATAGTAGGTAAGAAACAATGGTGATCATAATACTAGTGTAACAGTATTATTATATTACACAGATGTTACTTAGTGCGACAATGAACTACTGTTTGAGTTTTTATTCACAGTTATTCTGGCCAACTTACTATTTCAGTCAATTTTCTGTAGGAAATTAATTTATCAGGAGATAATTCCACATGATGATTTGCTAGGTTGCTGACAAATCAACACGTAAAAGCAACCATCATTTATAAGGAACGAAGTGAATTAGTACAAATGATCCATTATCTTATTGACTACATCAAGCAACCATTAGTTATGTAAGGTGACATTTTTTTTCTCTCAATATAACATATAATATATACACACTGGGGTGCAAATTAGTTTAAATTCAAGACATCTTTCTATTTTTTATATTGAGATAAATTCATTTTTTGCAAAAAGACATAAACTGTATCGTCATGATACGATTTCTTGTAGTGAAATCAACTAAGTAGACTATCAATGCTCATGTTCCAAATAATCGAAGACAGTATAGACCGAAGATGGTGTAAGTAAATAAGGTACTTTCAAATCTATTAGGGTGGAATGAATCATGTCTGGATTTGAAGTATTTTCCTTCAGAAACCGAGCAACGTAAGTGATTGAGAAAAACAATATCTGATTATTATTTCGGTTTGAATCGGTCTTTTATTCGATGATGATTTTTACAATTGTGAGCATTCCGTTCTAGAGCTAGAAACAAAATGTCATCACAGTGCGAACATTTACAATGAATTAGTTTGATCTATGTAAAATGTTTTGGCAGTTTCAACTCCAAAGTTTCTCATTGTTTTCTGGCCATAATTTTTCTTCCAATAAAATGTGTCTGTTCGAACTATAACATTCGGTATCTGTTCATATATGTTCAGAAATGTAGTAATAAATCCATTTTTGAAATGAGGAATATTAATTAAATTAAATGTTGAATTTTTCCTGGTTTAATCACTCACCCAAATGAATGATTCAATAGTAAACAGGATTCAACATGACTCTAGACAATTTGGTCGATTTCCAATAGACTTTTGACAATTAATCTTGGTTATTTGGCTTAGTTACATATTTTCATTTGTGTGTGTAATCCTAAGAGGTTTTTCTATAGGAGTCTTTATTTTTGAAATTGGTATACTCCATTGTGGCAGTGGACAACTCATCACGACAAAAAGCTCAATACATCTCCAAACTAGGTCGTAAGATTACATGGTAAAGCAATATATATATATATATATATATATACCGATTGGTAATCTTAAACTACCGACTTGATGCATAGATAATTGAGTAAAAATCCTAATTTTACCAACATCTTGATGTATGACGTAAATCAAACTAGTTAAGAAAAAATTTACTGTACTGTACTGTACCTTTACCACAAACTATTAGGATTTTGTTAAATCTCATCAGTAGTTATTTCACTTACTCAAAACTTAACTAGTTTGTTTTTAATTAATATCATTTTAAATTCGATTGTGTTTAGTTTCTTTAAATCAGTCAGTAAATATCACAAAAGATTTGAAGAATTGTATTAAATCATGCCAGATAAAATAAAACTTTTTCATGATGAATGAAAGATTTAAAACTTTCAAGTGTGACTAATTTGTATAGTTAACCTATTAACATTGATGACCGGAAAGCGAATGAAATTTCCATAAGATACTTCAAAAGTACAACCCCCAAAGTAGTGTGATATGAAGTTCAGTTTTAATTTAATCCCTTTTCAATTAACACTTTGTGAATAAAATTTTTTTATTCAAAATATACATCTGTAGTTAATCGGTTCGATAGTTCGGATACCTTCATGTCCTGTAATTTGTTTCATTGAAGAGGTGTTTTACAATACCCACACATTACCACCGCTATAAACAGTACTAATCATAAGGAGGATGGATAGGTGTAATAATTCATAATTGTAAACACAATTTCAATAAATAACTACAAAACAACATTTATCCAATGAAAAGAAGTAAACAAGTCAAAAATGAAAACACTGATGATGATAATAATAATAATAATAATAATAATATTCATCACAATTGCGAATTGCACGTGAGATTTTAATTGTGAATTTTCTAGATTGCATACAACTCTATATAAGGTCAAATTAATAACATTTCACTTGACGCATTTTTCGTCATGGATAAAATTGTAATTTATTAATAATTGATTTCGCATTCAGCAGTCATTGAGTGAGTGATTGATAGGCTGCTTTTACTGCCTTGTTATAAAACCTCGAAAATTGACAAATACATTGTCCATCAATCATAGATAGATAAATATATATGTGTATAATTGTGTGTGGTATTAGTTCGATTTCAGTTTTATTGAAAATGTTCAATGTTGTACACGCTTAAAACGAGAGTATTAATCTGTAATTGCATCGTTTATTTACACTTATCATTATTAGTATTGTTTATGTTTTCAGATAATTAGTTAACGACAATACGTGACCACATACATGTGTATATTTGTAAAACATCATAATTCTCACACGTGAGAAAACAAAATTCTGTATTGAAAAGTTATTTGTTTTTAATAAACAGAAAATCCAACGCACAGTTAGAAAAAAAAACTCACTGAACTATGCCTATTTTGAATTGATGATAGTATCAATTATTATTTCGAAATTGTTGATACATGACAATTGCCTTCAATTTGTAGAGATGCCACTTCACATAGTGGCTAGAAAATGTTTTAATCTAGAGCTGGAGTATTTGGACAGCTATCACTGGCGATCTATCTACACACCTTAGTATATATATATATTCAGATAAGGATATGATAGCTTTGAGTCAGCCAATAAGTAAAATATTCCTTAGTTGATAATATGTCTATGATATGAACATGCCTTTTCTCTATTTGCGAGATACTTGCTGAATATGTTCAATTAATTAAAATAGATGAACTATCAATTCTTCAACATGATAATCACAATCTGATTCCACTAATTCATATGATTTCTTGAAATTATCTAGTTTGATGAGTAAAATTTAATTTGCACCCTAATACACTGGGATGATCATAGAAATGGTGTGATTGTTTTTCAAAATCTGAGATTTTTAATCATTATTATTATTATTATTATTATTATTATTTAGTTTACTTTATTTATCCTCCTAAATAAGTTCCACAATCCTAGAATATTGTCCACTGTGAATCTTCCTGTTAGTTTTTTCATCAATCTGAACAGCTTATAAGGTCATCTGGTAAACTGCAAACTGATCATATAATAGTTGGTCTGTTGTCTGATATCTTGTAAGAAAAGAAACTATGATGTTGACCATCAATGAGCTGAGCAAAATTAAAAATACTAAAAGAAATCACAGAAAACTTATTTTATTCAATGTGAGATTGATGATTGGTTGCTATATTCTCCTTTAAGTTGTGCTCAGAAACATGAACTCTAGTAGTTTTCACATTTATACTGGTTTCCCAAATAAAATAAAAGAGATCACAAATGAAATCAGTAAATATTTTTTTTTCTAAAAAATTAATTCTTCTTGATTTCAATGAATTTAAATAATTTCGGTCGAAATGAACAGTCTAAATTAGTCGAGTACTCATTAAATATGATGACTTATAGTTAACAAACCAGACATTTTAAGCCATTTATTCGTTTTTAATCTGGATAAAATTATTTTAGTGAAATTGAATTTCTCGAAAAAGTTTTAATGGTCGGTGAAAAATCGCTGCGAAAAATTCATTTGTTTTAAATGGCATGATATAATGTGGCGGATGATGTAGAATTTAATGGACATACTTCTTTGTACAATTATGTCATTCCCTTAGCCTTATATCATGGTCGATTCATAAGTGAAGTAAACTAAAGTGGACAATAATCTGTAATTATTACAGCGGTTGAATAACCGCGATGTAAATTAACAATAGTTTACATCACGAACTAATATCTTATTCAAATTACTATTGAAAAGCAAGAACCACTGGTCAGCTAATAGGGGATGGTTCAGAATTGCACACCTACGACTACAGTGGCAATAAAATTTATGACTTTTAATTCTCAGGTGTATCGCTTAACTGATTCTATCCATGAAGTCAATGACAAGTTGACTGAGTCATGTTGGTAGATGTAGGCTATCTGGTTGGGGTCCGCGAGACGAAAGTCATCAATGGGTGGAGACCTTGAACGACATGGCTCGGAATCGTTTGCAATGGCGCAGTCACATCCACTCTTTGTGTTCTCTCTAATTCTAACCCTCTGAATTCCTGATAATCACTACCTTTCTCCTTCTAAATTTATCTTACTGAATTATACTTCTCGAATCATATCTTCGCTCCCTAATCTTCTCCATTACTGCTAATACT